GCGGCGTAGACTCGGTCAAATTGAGTTTTGTAGATGGACAGGCGGTGTAGTACAGCAGGTGCCGCTTACAGCTCAGTCTCCTCACAAAGCACGCATATCACGGCTTTGTGTGGTGAGGCGTGCCCTCCGCTCGTCTTCTACTCCCAAGACCGGTGGTGGTACATAAGCTACCTGCCCCACCATCGAGGCCGAGCCGACTCGGAGGATAAGCAGCAACAGGGGTTCAACCCGCTCAGGTGACTCAATAATATAAAGCGTGCCGTTCTTCTCTTGGAAGTGAGGTCTATGGCGCCACTGGTGTGAATTAACCTTGAGCAGAGACAGTCTAGAATTTTTCAGGAAGCCATGGACAAGCTACGGCATCGTTCTGATGGGACAATGATACAGCGAGCAGCCCCCGTTACTGAAAAATCTGTATCTCAGACCGTTCCCGCGGAAATGTCAAGCCACCTAGCTTATCGCGGCGGCCTGATTGTAGTCGGCCGATCCTTCTTCCCCTCGCTAAAGGTTGGTTTGCCTGAAAAATGGTTGCAAGTAGTGTCAGGAAAAAAATAGATAAAGATAAGCAGACGTATATGTAAACGAAATCGAAGCCGCGGTCAGCAAGACCTCGTAGTATGCTGGCTCCGAAACCAGTGAAGACGGCTCGATGAGAGATTGATACGTGGGTTTATCTGTGCGAGCTGCAGGGTAGCCATGCGCCTCGTTCAAGCTCAATGCTGTGGAACCAACGGGGTATCTGGCGGCGCGAAAGCACTAGGGAACCGGAGGCAAACGTTCGCGTCAAGCAGAGTCTTGGAGGACACGTAAACCGAGACCATCTCACCTGATGTGACGCTGTAGTATTTTAGCAGGGTCCATAGGCGGATATGAAGGAGTATGACTTGAAGAGTACTGTGCTCAAGATTGTGCACAGGTATCCGACTCGGCGGGGCGCATCACTCGAACCGAACGATGTCCCCCGCATTTCCACTACGGGCATGAGCTGATTTCAGATCACCTGAAATGTCCCGGCCAAGCCATCAGAACTGTTTCATTTTCGGGGACTTAACCGTGGCTTTCTGGTGCCCCCAAATGATAGATTTGCTACCACTTTCATAGCCATTTGCAATGCAAGAAAATGATAAATTTCATGTAGCTTGAAATGAACCTGAAATGACTCACTATGGTTACATTTCAGTACGGCAAAGAGTTGATATTTCAGGGGACTTCGTGGTGCATTTCAAGACATCTGAAAGAACATATGTAGGATTCATTTCCACCTCATGTTTGCAATGAGGAAAGGTCCGGGCGAGGAAAGCTTTTGATGGTCCTGAAATTGCCATTTATGATGACTTTTGAAACTATTTTATAAGCTAGAAGATTTTTACTTGAGATAAGACAGAAATATCCCAGAAATGTACTACAAATCTGCTGTAAATGGAAATTTCAGGACCATCGAAAGCTTTCCTCGCCCGGATCTTTCCTCATTGCAAACATGAGGCGGAAATGATTCCTACATATGTTCTTTCAGATGTCT